AAATCAATATAAACTTATAATTCTACCATTTATTTTTATAAATAGCCTTTATTGAAAGATCATAAGAAGATTTTCAATTAAAATTATGGTCTTAATATCATAAATCTTTTTTAAAACAATCATTATTTATTAGTAATGTAAGTTAAGCAATTAATTTCAAATAGACAACCATTTCACATTAATTTTTCAATATTTATGTATTGCCTTATATTTTTTAACCTTAATTTAGGTTATTGATAAAACATTATGATAAAAGCTTTGTATTATAAGAATTTTATGCTATGCTTTTAATCTTATAGCTTGAGATATTAATTTATTACAATCAAAGAATATAAAAGATATTTGGTTTAAAATTTATATCTCAATAGCAAATCTTAATATATATTAAAAAACAGAACTTCATTCAAATTAAACGGATTAAAAAAATTATAGCTTTGTAAATCACAATTATTTAATAATCAACTCAATACATATTCCCAAATTTTCTGGGTGAATTCATCGAAATACCTTTAACAATCAGAACCTATTCTGTATTTAATGGCTTCAGAGGAGTATAATTAATTATATAACTTAGATTATCCATCTTTGCCAATCAAACATAACATAGTTTAATGACTACGTATTTCATATCTCGTCAAACTATATACATAGAATGATTTGGATTTCAGAGTAAGATATTTATCAGACCATTCCTTAATACGTTGATCTAAATTTAGCATACCTGAATAACCATCAGAGCATTAAAAGAATTTACTAGTTTTATTTAATAGTTTCACTCTATTTTCCCAACCTTCTAATTTTAAATTCTATTCTTTTTAAATTAAATGTTCATAATATTTCCATTAACAGCGATTTATAGTAATTAATATAGCATGAAATTTGAAATATAATCGCCATGGATTATAATCTTATTACATAACATTTGCTAAATTCTTAAACAGATCATAAAACTCTTCAAACTCTTTATCATATGTTTCAATTTTGAGTTTGTATTCCTGAATTAATTTTGAATACTGCTATATAGATTACATTAAGCGTTCCATTTTTTATTTTCCCTCATCGGAATTTCCTTTATACCAATAACGTTCCTAATCATATTACCATTCCGTATACTTTAGTACGGCATCCCACTACTTATTGATATTCTCTTAATACTCTTCATAAAAATTGTCTCTTTTATACAACCACTAAAACTTTTAGTTCAATTAATTTTTAGATACTGAAAAGTTTATATTGATAAATTCATTATACTTATTTATCATCATTTATAGTTTATTGTAATCAAATTTATTTTATAAATAATTTTAAAGAAGCAATTAAAAATTATTCTTGCCAATTTCCCATGAAATTTAATTGTCTTAGGTTTTATTTTCTATAAATAAAGCTGTAGTATTAAATTTGAGATACCAAAAATTATTCATTTTTGGTATCATTTAGAAAATAGGAGATGGAATTCCATTAATTATTTCTTCTTGAGATTACAATATTTCTTTTTATTTAGGACATTCATCTGTAGAATCTGGAAATAAAAAGACAATATTTTTGATTAACTTAAATGAAAATTTAGATAAAATAGATTCTAACATGAAAAATGTACCTATTTATATTTATTATGGAATAACAAATCCAATTAAGATATTTTAATTAAGTGAAACTGAATTAGAAATAACACTTAATATTTTATCAAATATTTTTTGATCATCATAACATAAATCATCGCTATAATCTGGTGTATATATAATTCTAAGTCCTGTTTATCCATCTTATGGAGGAATATAATATACTTTCATTTATTCATATTCATTATTTTACTTTTCTTTAGTTATATCAATATCATCAATAATTTCGAACCTATAAGGATCAGAAAATTCAACTCCATAATAATAATTTACAAATAAATTAATTAAATTCTACTTTTTTGAATTTTAAGTTCCAATAAGAATAATTGTCTTATACTCTTCTAATTTTTCAATTTGTTATTAGTAATATATAGGGTATTAATGAATATCAAAATCATTCCCCTTCCTTAATTTAATAGTTTTTTCTACTAAATCTAAATAGCTTATTGATTAAATATTTTTTTTCTTCTTCTTAATCTCTTAATTTACTTAATCAATTTTTTTCTCTTTTTATATTATTTATTCATTGACTTTAATTGATTATTTATCATTTGATTTATTAACAATTGGTTATACTTTAACAAATGTTTCTTTTGAAGATTCTTCAACTTTTGAAAATATTTAAGAAATAGGTTCCATTAATGATTCTAAATTAGATGTTAATTAATTAAATGTTGATGATAATTATTGGATGCTTAATAAATTATTAACTTATTATTCAAACTCTTCATTCATGATTTCATCAAATGATGTTTCTAGATTTCTGTCCAAACTAGATAAGTATTTTTCTGCTTAACCCATTATTTCAACAATCTAAGTTATCTTTTTTGAATATATTTCATAACTTTAGATTGTTGTTTTTTTCCATTATGTAATTTAATTTATTGTTTTCAAATCATTTTTGTGTTAGTTGTGTTTTTCAATACACATTATACAACAGGCTCTTTTTATTTAGCAATTCATATTTAAACAAGCATATGTTATCTCTT